CCTATATTTTTAGGCAGCAATATCAGCAAAAACTGATTCGAATTTTTACTTCTGGCCTTAACCATAGCAACGTAACTTAATTAAGAACATTGCTCAGCGTCACTAGAACAGGTTTTAAAATATCACAGAACCTCCAGTAAAGCTGTGGTGCGCAGCCAGCCAATGTTTTTATTGTGAAGGCCAAAAAGTAAACGTAGCCTGGTTTTTCGCCTAATTCGACGGAATAAAATTGTTCTGATTCTCTGTTGCTGAGCACTGAAACGGTGGCTGGAAGCCCACGAGCCTTGGCCAGCGCTTTCTGCACGAGCCTGTTGCACCGCTGCGCGCCCAAGGCTCGGAAAGGAAGCGCGAGGGGAATGTTATGTTGTGCTTATGGGACGACTCGCGTCTCAGACAGCAGCTGCTGAGTGCATTCATTCACTGCATTAATAGCATCGAGGTTTGTTGACAATTTTATTAGATGTTTGACAAAGGATAAGAATCAGCACAACAAAACATGGAAGTATTTGGGTTTAATATTTCTTTGTGAGTATTCTGTTAATATTTTAATGCAAAATGTTTCTGAACAGTGCTCAAGAACTACAAGACAATGTGAAATTCATGTTTGATAAATTAATACTGTATGTCACTCGATGTGTTACTTTAAATTGTTTTATTTCTTTACAAAATAAGTACAAATAAGGGAGTATGTTTTCACACAAATTGGGGGTATTTACGAGTATGTACAGAAATCATCAAAATAACATAATTCTAATAAACACAAGGCCTTTATAAACAATATGTACAAATTATCAATACATTTAAAACATAATTTTACACTTCCTGGCCTTAAATACCTTATGAATAATCTTTTGGCTAAATAGCAGCAGTATAAATTTTCTTCTGCTTTTCATAAACCTTAAAAAATAATTAAAACTTTTGTTTTTAAAACTATTGGACAAATAGTTCTATTTGTGCTTTCGCTATGGTTTCCCATCAAAAAAAAAAAAGTATTGCCTCAAAAAAGTGGCAAGCATAACATAGTAAAAATTGAAAAGATAAATAAGCAAATGTCTCCCTTCCACGGTTACTGATAATACTGTTACGTTTGAAGTACAACAGCTTGTGCCCACCTGCCCGCTTAGTCTTCCTGTCCCGTACCCATTTAAAAGACTCACACAGACTTCGCTTGGCTTTGGTGTGGGCCCCTTAAATTCCAATTCAGCAAAGCATTTAAAAAGCATTCATCCCACCTTTAAGTACTTAAAACTACTCGTTCTGCTTAAAGTCACGCACTTGTTCACGAGCCTCTCCGGACAGGAGTCCTCGGGTCCAGTCGTCCAAGGCGAAGGCATCGCCAGCCCCTGCGGCGCTGGCCTGACCCGCCGGCGGCACTGGGCTGCGGGGCTCACCCCTGCTCTCGTGATTCTCTACGCGTGGAACCGGCCCCCAAAAACTTCCTCTACAGTGACTCCGAAAATCCATATAGAATACTCTAAAATCTTTACTGAACAATACTCTCTTTTAAAACCACCATTAAACCATACTCTTTGCAATAAATAAATTATTTTTTAGAAAATAAAACCCAACTTTGATTCATGTTATTAACCAGCTGCTACAAATGTGCAAAAGATTGAAGAGACTCAGAAAACAACTGGAAGCCAGTCAAGGTAACTCAGCTGGGACCCGAGCGCACAGATTTCATACACTTAGGATTTGGTTCAGCAAATGGCTCGGGAAATGAGCTGTGCAGTAAAAGCAAAAATCCTAAATATATCAAATTTGTGAGAGTGTGCAGTGGCTATTCTCTTAGCTGTGCAAAAAATTGCAATTATAACTAATCTAAAATAACAACAGGTATCACCATGGTTAGTCAGCGGAAACAGTGCTAGTAAAACTAAAAAGAAAACAAAATCAGCACCGTAAGTGAACGTACAGGTTAACGCCATGGTTAGGTCCCAATCCTGTGACCCTGGCCCAATCCTCCTTGCCGTGAGATGGTTTAGGTGAGCCATTGCAGCAGCCTTTCCATTTGCGCAACTTCAACACCATCAACTTCAGCCTTACCTAAGCTGGCCAAATGGAGCAAGACTTCGATGTCGGTTAGATCTGTGGATTTAACATTTTAAAACCTTTTGCACATTTTTTTGTGTTTTTTATAATTTTTTTTTTTTTTACAGAAAGGGAATTTATTGCATGTGACAATTTTACAAAACAAAATTACTGGAACATTGACTTCTGAAAAAAATAGAAGGCACATTAAAATGACAGCTTTTCAATGCAAGTTGAGCTTCTGTGTGGAGAAATCAGTACAATTCTTGGCTTTATTTAAGCAGAGCTCGATAGAGCAGGAGAGAATGGCTCATTTCTCTTTCCTGTTCCATGTAGAAGATGAAGTCCCTGAGGTTTACGCGAGTTATTTTCTGCCGTGCATACTGCCTGGATGAAGGAGTCCCCAAGCCAGCCTGACTTCCACCGGACATACCGAGGCCCTACAAAGAAAACACAGCAAAGTCAGAAGTCCTGCAACAGTAAAAAGTTTCCTCATACTGTCAGGTTTACAACTACTAACTGCTGGACTGTTTTAAACATCTTAAATGGATTATTATGAGCCTAATTCTGAAAGTATTACATGAGATTTTTTTTTTCTTTTTTTGTATTCTTCTGAGTCTCACTGAGTTAACCTGAGTAAAGAAACTCAAGTGAAAACACACGAGGCTAGACCTTGTTCATTTACAACTCGAGACAAATATGTCTGACTAATTCTGCTACAGTCACGTTAACCGTAGATGT